GGGGAAAGGAAAAAACCCTGGAATTACTCTGAAGGAAAATTCCTTGGAAAAATGTGCCTGGAAACAGCTGAGGTTACATGGGCACTTTTCTCGATAAAAAGAGTTTTTGAAAAAATCTGCATTCACCGGGAATCGAGCCCATGATCCCTAGAACCGCGTTGTATCAGTAACAAGCACGCTTACCACTGAGCCAATGCCACTCCCATGGTAGACCGTTATTATGTATATCTAAGACTGAATTTATATAGGCAAGAATTAATGGAGGGACTAAAACCATAGTTTGCATATGGAGAAGTCTCGTCTTATCATTCCTATGCTGATTCCATTGGGTTTTGTACCTACGCAAGACATTTTATGTCACTTACATGCAAAAGTAGATAAAATTTATAAGATTTCCACCTGTTTATGAATTCTTCAACATAAGCTACATTGGTAGAGGAATCTTAAGACAAAGAGGGTTATATCACATAATATTACTATTCTATAGCCCAACATTGTAGAATCAATGTAATGTCGTAATGCAGTGAACAGAATGCAAGAACATTAAAAAAAAATGGCAAAACAAAATACATATTGCCATAGGCAGAAATCTACCAACCTTTAACATGTTTTCGTGAACTTAAAAAAAAAATACGTAGAAGCGGAGATAATCATTGATTCTGTTTTAGAGGCTATCTAGTACAGTTGGGTTAAACAATGTGGAAGATCAAGACCCAAAGCCCATAAGAAAGGAATAGCGTATCTTCGCAGGAATCTGGATATAATGCATATGTAGAAAATGGAATAACAATAAGAATAAGCTGTAAGTTGTTGAAGTAATTTTGCAAACTTGTTACAGACTGAATTCCATTATCAGTAGATGTTATCCCTATCATCACAGATGATACAAAAGTATGCGTCTAAAAGTAATTATGAAACATTGAAGCCTAACCTTTACTTCTCAATCTCCTGTCAGTTTAGTTAGGATTATAAACACCCTAACAACACTTAACTTTGGCCTCTTCTCAAAAATTAAAAATGCCTAATCCAAATTTAAAAAGTTTGGTGCTTCCAAGATAACGAGAGATCAACCTGTGTCCGGGCTTAAACAAGTTAAGAATGTTTTTGAGCAGGCTAAGGTAATAGATTTTAATAAATCATCCACATAACTTAGATGCCCACTACGTCTGTTTTACTAATAAGATGTTTATAAATTGTAAGGATAAGTATAACTCTGTGGTTGGGGAGTTTCAGGATTATTTGTTCAATCTTCCTAGTATAAAAGTTAACTCTCCTGTATCTACGAACACATTACCTGCTCACAACAATTTTAAGAGTTACGCTTCGGTGCTTTCTATAGATCTTTGAGTTTTAATGGTAAGGTCTGATTACGTTATTTGCTACAAAAAGCATCATACACTGATGCATTTAAGTGACTCTGATAAAACAGTTCAGAAACATAGTGGTTCTACTAAGGGAGCCAACTAAAGTTCTCACCGCTTTCAAGATTCCGTTATCAAGGGTGGTTCGTGCCTTAATATTAATGTGATCAGTTTTCTCAGTCTTACTAAGACGCCTAAGGTCTCAATAGAACAGGCATGCTTCTTCATGCGTCAGCTCATTTCATCATTATTAATGATTCAATAAGAAAGGGTAAGGCCAGTAACCAACGCTTCTTCTTCTAAGCTAGGTTGGCTTCTATCTGGTCTTGTTAGTGTGCCATGGTTTTTTAAATCAAACAATCCAGTGACGTTGCATGTTCCTGCACAATCAGATCTATTCATAGTTCAGTGTATGTCACTGTTTTATGTCATGGCAAGATCAGTGCACTGATTTGTATTCAGAACAAGAGATTGATTTAGATCGTGCTGATAAGGAGTTAAGAAAAATATGACAGGCCCAAGGCCAGTCTAGTACTTTTTCTGAAATCTTATCATTGTTAAGGACTTAATGGCTCTTTCATCCTCCGTCTGCACCATAGTTTTGGGGTGTAGGGGAGTCTGCTGTTAAGTCCACTAAGTTCCACCTAAGACACATTAGTGGTAACCAAGTTCTTACCTTTATTGAATTTTTGACTCTCTTCTGCCAAACAGAGTCCTGTCTGCATTCCTGACCCTTGTGCTCTGTGACAGAATGTTCCTAATGATATGAATCTTCTCTCTCCTGCTCATTTATTAACATTGAGACCCTCTTACTGTATGCCAAAACTAGACGTTTCTTTGAATAAAATATCTCCCTTACACCCTTGAAAAATTATTACACCGTTTGAGTAGTTTGAGTACACATGCAAGTAGGATATAGTGTTTCCATTCAGAATAAGTTGATAACACCTGGGACATATAGCCATAGCCTCTTGGTGAGATATTCAAGATTTAGAAAGACCTAATACTTTTTGTTAGAGTAGTCAGCGTTAAAATAAGTACCTCTTCTCTAGCAAGACTTAGCAGTTTATCAAAATATTCTTTTTATCGAACAATGAGAATGTAAGTAGACAAATAATGTACATTGAAACCTACTACAATTTAATTACCAATGTTGTTGTTAAAGCACAATTATATAAACTGCACTTTATGTTCTACATAGTGACTTATAACCTATACATTTCTCTTTTTATTGATGTTTTAATACTCTTACTTCTGTCCATCAACTTGTGGGTTGTGTATAACATCACTATTTTTAGTTTCCAGTTATGAATATTGTGATTAGAACTTCACGCGTAGAACTGGAATATAACTGACACAAAGAGTCCTGCGTGACCATAAGTTACTTAGATCAAGACTTATATTATCTCAATCCAGTATCTACTGTGCAGTCAGTCTGCTCGCTCGCGTTACCTAATAAGAGTAATGTACTAAAATAAGTTATAAGCAGACTTTCTTTACTTTTGTACACAAGGAAAAGGTACAATTTACTTATTCCACTTACTTTCGTTTTTTTTTATACAACGTTTTGCATTAAGGTGCTTTTTTAATAGGAGGTCCTTCTACTGACTTGCTCTGATGTCTTTATAGGTGGCAGATAGCAAGACAGCAACCGAATGGAGACATTATTGGAATGTAATATTGTATGGGAATGAATCATTACGCAGATGCAGGAACTCTTAACTCTTACACCACAAACTATCTATAACACCTAAAAATATCTCACCGTAGAGTAAATCAAGCGCTCAATGGTAGGCAATCAGACGGCAGACACCAACAGATCAACAGATACAACGAGACAGTAAAATTTGGAGACTCATTTGAATATACTAAAGTTTCAAGTAGCGAAGAAAAGTAAATAACAATAATAGAAATGTATGTAAGAAAATAATAATGTCTATTAGAACTTTAGTGATCAGTCACTAATGTCACAATAAACTCTATCCACACGAAAACAGTATATGCATTATACTATTATTAATTGAACTTTGCATAAGATAATTACAAAAACACGAGTAACAATAATGACATTGATAATAAGATTATCCGTTGGTTATAATATTAACAATAATTTCAATAATAAGTTAAATAATGGTAATACTTTAACCCTCAACAACATTACCAATAAATATAAAATTAAGAATTGTAATAATAGAAGGCTTAGGCTATAGAAATTTTTTTTTTTTTTGTAAGTCGTCATCACCTGAAGGGCTCAGACATGTTTAATACTATATGATGTAATTAGCCATAATTTGGTTAGTTAACGGTAGGTGAAACATTAAGTAAATTGGTGGATTTTTTAAAGCTAAAATCCCATTATAAAAAAAAACCTCTTTTTCCATAAAAATTTTTGTCCAGAGTAGGATTAAAATCCCTGCCATCAAAATCTGTAAGCAGACACACTACCGACAAAGCCATCATGTAACTAGAAATGATATTTATAAGTATGATAAGTATAATTTATACACAATGTAAGACCAAACAAATGCAGTTGCTCAAATGTAAGCTTATGTACCTTAAAACAAGCTTTATGTATTCATTGTTAACAGTAAAAAAAATTGTTCTTTTATAATCAGTTGAATAATCTTCTGATGTATCTATACAAAAAACAGAAAAAACTGTGCATAAAAATAAGTTATCTTATATTAGTAGCACTTAAGAAAATTTAAAAATTCACACAATACGTTGTTAACGTTATTACACGCATACTTCTCTAACGTAAAAGTGCAAGCCAAGAAGGAAACCGTCATTGAGGGCGACGACGTTGCAGCCTTAGATGTGTTACATATAACATGCATGACGCATTCGTCACAGTTATAACACTACAAAAACTGCATCATAACAGGTAAGACTATAAAGAGAGGCCTCATGAGGTCAGCTGGGCAGCTACGTAACTGTCAGGAGAAGTCGCAGTTATGTTCTGCAGTTACATGTAAGTTTAGGAATCACGAGCAAAATTAGGCTTGACACGCAAATTTTCGCTTTCCTCACTGAAATATAATAAATGAAAGTTGTAATTTAATCAAACATCTTCCATATTATAAACAACTCAAGTCACAGAAAGCTACTCAATACTGGTTACGATTTTTTTATTCTTTTAAATTATACATCTCGAAGCAGCAATAAATGTATAGTTAAATTTGAGTAGTATAAGTACTTACTTTTAAATTTAAGAGTACTAATAAGAAATTTTATGAATCATCATTCATTAATAACAACAATTGTTATACTTGTTCTTTACTTACATAACCCCACCATATTTTTCAAGGTAGATTCCACGAAAAAATGATAAAAATCAGATTTAAAGTGGTTTATTCGTAGCTGATTAGTTGTTTTTAAGAAATGTTTAATCATTATCTTTTTTTATAAGAATTGAATTATAATTAAATGTTTTATTTTTGAGAAGGTAAAAGTCTGACTACAATTATATTATTAGTAATAGTGATAAAAGTAATGATAGTAATATAAGTAGAAGTAGCAATAGTGGTGACAGCATTCGTGATTTTAGTTAAGATGCGTATGTTGAGCCTCGAACAATGAAATTTTTAAAGAAATTATTTAGAAGTTACGAAGATTTCTGAACGATTATGTATTTTACAGAAAACTGATGTAACATTTGAACTTGTTGAGGAACTACAAATGAAGACTAAAGAATTTTTACAACCAAACCCAACTGCAAGAGCAAAAATGGCTGCCGTTAAAGGAATAAGCAAACTAAGTGGTCAAGCTAAAGCTTCAACATATCCTCAACCAGAGGGTATCTTAGCTGATTGCATGTTACTGTATGGGAAAAAAATGGGAGATGACAGCGTTTTCGGTAATATTTAATGTACATTATACATAATTGATTTTAATAATTCTAGTTTGTAGTAATGTTGTAACATAGTATTATTAATTTTCCATAATAAAACTATATTTTAATGAGAAAAGTGGCAGACAATATCCTCTTTAAGTAGGTTCAAAGCATATTTCGTTTGATTCTAGATTCTGAAGCACGTAATATACACTCAGTTGAACTCTGATCTGTCCTGGACCCTATTTCGGAACTATGGGTGAAGTACTGTTCAATAATAGGGTCCAGGACAGAACAAAGTTCCACTGACGGTACATCTACACTGTAAGTGTAATAGAAATTTATGAGTCTTCCTTTGTTTAAGGCTAAAGCAAATCAGCTGATCTTGAAAGCCTTTCATGCTTTGGTCCCACACTAAGCCAATTAAACTGCAACAAAAGTTTTCGAGATTGTTGATGTATAAGCTTATAACTTTAATAGCTGAGTCATTGAGATCCTATCTCATGATAAAAAAAGGACTTGTTTGTTTTATATTATTTTGGATAAGAAACTACTTTTTTTTTTATATTTTGAATGACAAATTTCATTTATTATTTTTGTATATTATTTAAATACCGCAATTATTTAAAAAAAAAGTGGAGTACATTAAAAACTAAATTACTATTTTCGTCAAGAGAAATGACAAGATAAAAATATCATGCTGTCAAATATTTTACTGGGTGCTAATATTCATACAATTTTTTTTTTTTTCTTTGTAATCCATTTGTTTTATTTTTTTAGAGCTATTATAATTTAAAGTTTAAGTGTAACGTGGCTAAACTATCGTTGATAAAACTACTAATAATTTTTTTCCATTCCTTCAGAATTTCCCATGTTGATTTAAAAAACATTTAAAGCTGGGAACAACGTGCGTCTGAAAAGAAGTAACTCATGTGCGAGGTCACTTGTAGCTGCTGTACTAAGACAGAACATGACTCATAAACATGCCAGCTGGTCTATAGATATATGGTCTATAGATAGAGATATATGCTGAATTAATAGCTAATAAAACAATTTTTTTATCCAAGTTAATGAAATAAGCTTCAGAAACCAGTTAATGCAAAAATTTAGCTGGGAACAGTGATACTGATCAATAAGATTAAACTTTTAAATAATTTAGAACTAAACATGTAGACTAAGTAACAATGAAAATATAGTCAAGTTAAGTAATGAAAAAAAACACCTTCATTTTAACTTCATGAGACTTTTAATAGGCAAGAACTACATCTGATTGTATTAACTATGGTAAATCCTGCAGAACAATATGATTATCTGGTTTGAACCCTTCATTTTTCAGAGGCACGATTTTCTGAGTTATTTCATTTATTACGCTATTGATTTCGTAAATCATCTACTATAGCCTAATTATGAAACTTCATTATTTTGCTACTTTTTTAATGCGTAAAGGAGGAGGGGAATATCAAGCCAGCTATTGTTCTTTTCTCATCTTTGATCAGAGACGTCTAGAGAGAGTCCGTACAGCTACCTCCAACATAGGTGACAGAATTTCCTCTCTGATGACTAGCTATGGAAATTGAGTTGACCAAAAGTCTACGAAACATCCTGAGTTATTTTTGCAGCTCCATAATTATTTAAAACTGCCTGTAAATCAAATTATGTTAACAATTGAGACAAGTTGTTGGTTCATGAAAGGCGAAATACTGTTATTATTTTTATTATGAGTATAATCTTTATAATTATTTCTACTATTATTTTTGTTTTTATTGTTGTTATTATTATTACAATAAATTTTATTTTAATTTGAATTATTATTATTATTACTATAATTATTATTATTTATACATTAAAATGTTGATTATTATAATAATTCTAACAAGTGATATCATTTTTAATAATACTATTATTGCTATTATTACTACGATTATTACTAATATTATTATCATTGTTATTATTATTATCACTATTTTTAGTATCATTGCTTTTATGACTATTACTAAAAATTTTATTACACCATTAAAAATGTAAGTAATGTAATCCAGCCACCAAGGTAGCTGTTAGCTAACCCAATTCATTAAATCTCATTAATGTGTCGTAACGCCTTGATAGCTTATTTAACCAAGCAATTACTGAAAACGTTAATCACTCTTTTTGCAAAAGGTTTTATTAAAAAAGTGAATGGCGCGCAGCCCTAGTAAATATTAGTAATATTTTATCTCACTGTTGCTATCAAGTTATGATAAAAAATCTGTAAAATCTGAATGTAAAAGGAAAAGGAAGGATATGAGGAAATAAATTACCTTCGCTTCTCTTGACGCATATGGGAGAACAACCCACCTGAGGAAGTGCCAATTTTTGAGTGGCTAAACAAGAGCAGCACTATCCATTTAGATTTTTGGCTACTGTCTTTTACTCAAGCCAGTGCGTGATTCGCTACTCTTAATAAAAGGGCCTCGATGCCCCCCCCCCCCCCAAAATAAAAACAGTTCACAGTCACCCCTCGAATGGTGGACTCGGTAGTTAGAGTCTGACTCTGCTACCTCATGGTTCACCACGAAGCAAGCTTATCATTTTTTCTCGAATGGTACTGGTAACCTCTAGATCGTGAATTAAAGTACAGTGCAATTTTTACGTAAACACGAGAGTGTACACCACGACTCTAAATAATAATGGTAACTTCCGATGCGTCGCCAGTGTTTTTGTCTTTTCGTCAACACTAGAGTATGCACTACCGCTTTAAATAGTCATGGCAGCTCTAGGTAGAGAATTAAAATATACCACATACACTACATAAGCACTAGAGTATGCACCACCACTTTGAATACAGTGGTAGTTTTAGATACAATACACTTGTTTAAATATAATTTTGGTTCCTACGTCGAACGCTAATGAATGCACTGAAGCTCAAAAAGACAATAGTTACTTCTATGCAGCTCCAAACGGTTGAAATCCCTGCTTCTCCGATTAAAAAGTATTTTTGCCCCCTTCGCTCTGATCTGTAAGGGTAGTATAACGGCCAAGTCGAGAAACAAAGGAACAATTACTCGTCCACGAGACCTTCATAGTTCCTTAACTTCATGTGTTGTCAACACGCTTCGTCAATAAAGGCAATTTTGGTACTACTTTAAGTTTATTTTTATCATTTAATAACTTCAATTTGTTGTTTAGGAAAAGATCTGGTAATATTAAAAAAGGATTCATTTTATTAGAGCGGCACTGTACGTGTTAACTTTTTTTTACCATTAATTAGTTTTTGCAAATGTATGAAGTATAAAATAGCTCTTACAAACAATTAACAATATGAGCCCTAAGGTGACCAGTTTTTTTTTTATTCAAAAAAATGTTACCTACGACCCCTATCATAAGAAGAGACTTCTACTTTTGTTATCTTTAGAAACTTTGTTTATTCACACAAACAGTAAGAATTTTACATTCTACTTTTAGATATCTTTACTTTAAGGAAACAACTATTAAATGATTTAAAACTTCAGTCTTAAATAAATAAACCAGTGCACAAGTGTGGATTGCTAAAACGAGTGTAGGGAAGATAAATCACTGGCTTCAGTTGCTTGTTTGTGGCTGGCGTAGAATCTGATTTATTAAAATCACTTATGGTCAAAAATTATCAATATCTAGACTTCTTTGAGTCATGAGACCATTATTTTTTTTAAATGTTTCTGAACGTCAAAGGAAACGTGGAGTCATGCAACTTTTACATTGAGAAGTATAACTACAATAATTAAAGGAGCCTTTTCATGTTTTCAGTCCGAAGAAAAATGCTTTTTAGAAATGCAGAGATTCGTAAATAACTACTTTGTATGATAAAAATCATGTTACACTGTCATAACATGAATCGAGTCTTTTTTAAAGAAATATACAACTAAATTACGTTTCGATCTTTCAAATTCACCCTTATATAAAATAAAGGTACAGCTTAAAAAATTCGCTTACAATTGACCACCAAGTTAAACGATAGTGTAGAAACATGCTTGATCCTACGCTCTAGAGACAGATTTGAACAAATTTGTTTTTTAAGATAATAAAATTGCAAGAAACTTCAATACCAAATTTTCAATCAAAACAAATTAGTGGCTATAAACATTGTAAATCCAAGATATTTAACTGCAATTGTGCTAAGCTAGAAAAAAAGCTTATAGAAGCAAAAATTTAATAGTAGAGAATTGGGAGGAGCTTATTAATTGATACCAATACGTAAGGTTGAATATGAAAAAACAAAGGTCTTCCGTAGTAAGATCCTCATTCATCAAATCTTTGACTTTGCGGCTTATTGATTGTCATGAAAAAGGTAAAATTAATAGAAACTGTTTTCTGTATATTATAAACGGTGAAGATAAATTGTTGCCGGTATTGAACGTGATTCTTGAAATGAAAACTTTATTACCAGATTTTTTACCAATTATTGTTTCTGCTTCTAAACTGTATTTAAATAATGTTATTGTACGTAGTCTAATGCCATTGCATAATCCATCAAAAATACTCAAGTTTCTTATCAACATAATAATAATAGCATCTACTTTTAAATTTTAAAACATGCGGTGACAATCCTTTATGTGTATTATTTAGAATTTCTATAGGAAAATTTATATTTATGTTTCAATTAGTGCAATCACTACCTTTGCATTTTGCACAATGTATACTGTAATAAGTATGTTTTTTTTCCTTTAATAAAAATTTTATAATTTCAAATCTACGAAATCGTTATGAGTTGTTGGAATAACTTTTTTTAGGCAGCTATTTATACGAACTCCATGAATTCACTTACAAACGTCATCAGTTACAGGCAATACATCAATTATTTGTATGATTTAGTTATCCCTACTCAAACGTATAACACTATAATATAAAAGAAAAAAACTCTCTTTGCTGCGCATATTAACTCTAGCACTCTCTTCTTCATCCTCTCTGCTACTGTTGTCTACCTTCACCCTGCTTCCCATCTCATTAACGCCACACTAATGGCTTTTGCTCTCTTCTAACGATCCAGCACCAGGTAACAGCAGCTAAGC